GTATTATTTTCCTGAATTCTTCCATTTTTTGGTCTGCATTTTCCATGAATTTGTCCGCGTTTTCCATGAATTGTCTGTTTTTTCCTCATTTTTGTGTGCTTTTTGCTTCAACTATTGGATCACTCTGAATATTAGAGATTTGAATTCCTTTACATATAGTTCTAGTGCCTTTTCTTCTACTGGAAAGTCATTTGGTGTTTTATTTTGTATGCCCACTGGAACCATCCTGTCCTGTTTTTTAATATGTTTTGATATGTCTGCTGTCTTCAGGGCATTCAGTAGTTATTTTCTTCTTTTATTGATTGTATATTTGTTTGTTTTGTCCTAGTTTTTGTTTTATTTGGTTATGTCTGAGCAGGCGGGCTGTGCGTTTTTTGTTGTTTGCTGGTCTGTGAACACGATATTTTTCACCTCCTTGTCCAATGGGCAGGGTCAGTCACTCAGCTATGTTGCAGCAGGGCAGGTCTAGCTGAAGGGGAGGGACTGGGATGGGTGTTTTGTGGCACGTACTGGGGCTGACAAGGTGAGCCAGGGGTCAGTGCAGGGTAGGTTCTGGTAGACCATGCCTGTGCTGCTCAGGAGTGCAATGTTCAGCACGTGGTGCAGATAGGCAGGAGGGAGGGTGAGGTTGAGGTTGTGATGCGTGGAGCTAGGTTCAGTATGGAAAAGAGGAGAGAAAAACAGAGGCCAAAAAAAAAAAAAAAGTGCTGAGGGAACCTGCTGTTGTAGTGGAAAGACGAGACACTGAGAAATGAAGAAAAACAAAAAGGATAAAAAATAAAATTAAAAAAATGAAAAATTAAGGAAAAAAATGCCCCCAGGGATTCCACAAATGCAGCTGCACAGACTGGGGAAGCGACTCCCAAGCTACACAGTACAGCTGGGCTAGAAGGGGTGGAGATAAAACCCAGTGCCAGGTATTCAGGAGACAGGAAAAGAAGGTAAGTAGAAGGAAATGAGAAACCAAGAAATGAGGCAAAATAAAAAGGAAAAGAGAAAACAAACAAACAAAGCCCCTACCACAAAGGATCCTACCACTGTGATGTCGCAGGCTGAGGAAGCAGTTCCCCAGCCAAGTGGCACTTCACAGCCTGTCAAGAAGAAGCAAAGATGGCACATAGAGTCAGGTATTCAAGAGAAAGGATGGGGAGGAGGTGAGAGGCAGGGAAGAAACCAAAAGAGGTCAAAAATGTAACACCAGCAACAAAGAAATAGCACTGAAGAAGCCGGTCGGTGTGGGTGGGGTGAATCCTTGCAGCACAGAACTGGCACCTCCCATGCCTCGATTGTGGCCCGCCGGGAAGCTGAGGATCAGCATGCTGGAAAGCAGTGAAGTCCGAGTATGGGGAGGCAGGGTAGGGGGTGGGAAAGCGTGTATCTCTGGTTACTGGGCACTCTGTCTCCTGCTGGGAGCTCTGTGAGTCTGCTTTCCCATATTCCCTGTCTGCCAATCTCCAACAGGAGTCCAAGATGGTGGATCCATAGTGCATTAGCTGATAGGGGACCACCACTCGTAACTCTCCTCACTCTCTGTTCTCTGTCAGTTTCTTATTCCATTCGGTGCTTGGTTGGTTCTTTATCTCTTCATTTGATGCTTAGAGTTCCAGGATTGACATTTGTCTCTGTTTTACTTAGTTTTTCCGGTCTTTGCTGTGGAGGGACAGCGTGGTGGTTCTGTCTATAAGGCCATGTTGGCTCCGCCCCAGAAGCAACTATCTCTTGCAGAAATGGTGACAATATTCCTGACCTGGAGGGAAAATGCACCCTTGTAGACAGACTCCTTCATCCTTGAGTGGTCACATGGGTTCTCACCAAGTTTAAGCACCATTTTGGAGCCACCTAAAAAAACTGTAGCATTGACTTTAGATTTAAATGCCAAGTTACCTCATACATGTGATCATTAAATTAAGCAAAATAGTGAAAGTGTTAGAAAGAAATGTAGGAACCTGGCTCTGAACTTTTTGAAAGGCAGGGGAGAGATAGCTGAAAAGTTTCTAGTGAGTGATGTGGTCAGTCCTGCTTAGATTAAGTGCAAAATAATTGCCCAGAGGTATTGAATATACTTAAATGGTTCTCCATCTTGGGCCGCTAGCTAGGTGATCATGGGAAAGTTATTTAATCTATCTGTGGCTCAGTTTTCTGTAAAAATGGGGATCATATGAATACCTACATCAGAAGTTGTTCATGTGTTTGCCACATAGTAAGCATATGATGGAGCCCTGGTGGCTCATGGTTAAGAGCTTAGCTGCTAACCAAAACATCAACAGTTCAAATCCACCAGCCACTCCTTGGAAACCATATGGGGCAGTTCTGCTCT